CCTGGTCTTGTTAGTTGCCTATATAACGTCAACCTTTTGTTAGACAGCATCATTGGCTTTGGGCTATTAATAATAATTATGACTTCCAGAAACAGGTCAACGTTAGATAATAACAAAACTAAGTTTAGAAATTTCCCATACAAATAAAATATAGCATTCTAAGATTGTGAAAGACGAGAAAGTTCATATGTAAAAGATTACCCAACAGAGAATTAACCACAGAGCATAGAATAAAAAATGGAATTAACTAATTCAACCAACTTACCTTTTGATGTGAATAAACATATTCAGCCTATACAATTTTTCCTTTCACTGACTTATACTTATATTTAACTTGCATGTCACATGATTAAACAAGGCTATTGTACTGCTCATAGACAGTGAGAAGATTTCATATTTTCTAAACAAGTAGATAGCACATTCTGATATGAATAAAAATGCAGCCCAAGATGTATTCAACTTACTACATACTGTTCTTCTTGTTCTGAGTGTTGGCCACCTGACCATTCCATTGATCATTGACAATCAGAAAATTGAATCTTTCTTGACCAAACACCGGATCGGCGTTTTCTTTGGTAGCTGTTGTAGAATCTTCCACCGGGGCTGGCAGGCTGGAAGGCGTTTGAAAATGACCACAAGACCCACGAGTTCTTTGCACCCTCATTTCCGATGAACCCGGCTCAACTCATGGCCGTACACACGCACAAGGGAGCACACACGCACACTGACTCTGACGTGAGAAAATTCCCACAGGTCGGCGTCTCTATTGTGATGAAATTTGTGTACGTTTACACGCTAATTAAAAAACTTGTTCTTCTTAGTCAGCAGTCATTTCTGCTGCACATATTTGGTGCATACTGAAGGGACAGATTATTTTGAGTGTACCTTACTGTACATCTGTAGACCAACCATACAGTAAATTATACTGTAGCTAACTGATTGAAGATTTTAATTAATTTTCAGTTTTTCCAACATCGGCTTTTAGTCAAGGTAGAAATCACAAAGGAGACGACTTTTCCACTAATGTCTATGCGGTTGTACTCATGAATAAGTACCACAGCCTCCACTGGTACATCGTGATCGTAAGCTAATATGTAATCAATAGGCTAGTATGCACCGTAAAACTATGTGCTAACCATCCATTGTATCTAATGAGAATAAATAGCTTAGTTTCTAACCAATTCCAATTTCATAACTTTTGATTCATTTTCGCGAGAGTATGATCAAGTGCCTTTGCAACTCAAGTGACAGCTTTACATAACTATTCATGAGTCCACGTGGATTAAAAACGCAATTAGAGCACGTGACCTCTATCCAATGGATTTAACTCCGCGACTCAGTGTTACAGAGTGCATCTATCCAGGAGTTCTTCTAGGTGACGAGATTATTCTCTGTTGGATATCTCTTCCTATTAAAATCTAAACTGTAGATCCCATTGTGTCATTCTAGTTGTAGGAGTGGGAGTTGTGGAGTGGTTGTAGGAGTGGAGTGTGCGATACTTGCTATCTCAAATATATAGGCCTACAAATAATATTGTATTACTTCACACCAAATTAATGCCACGACCTGTGTAGTAACGTTCTCTGTTTGTTCCAGATTCGTGGACCCCCAAGTGCATCAGTCGTCTTTGTCCCAACAGTACAATAGCCATTGTCTGAGAGTCACTTCCTACCAGCTTCCGTGATAACGCATCTAACGACCCCAGTTGATGCCATTTCTATACATTATTCTATTGTTTTCGGGTAGAAAGGTAAGAACGCTATGGAACGACAGCTAGTTAGTACGTTTTGTTTGCCTACAAAGCTGATTTCCTTCGAGGTTTAACACATTCCGAAAAGGCAGTTTTTTTTATTTACACAATGTTTTCTGAGACACCGGATATTTTAGTCGTAAAATAGCTCATCCAAATGGACTTACAATTTTCGCATATCACACTTTTGCTAGCCAAGCCAATTAATAATCTATAAGAATAAATAGTTTATTTTTGTTTTAAAAGACATATAACGGATACAATTCTTGGATCATTTTATAGTACAGTCTACTCGTTGGCTTATGTTTCCAAAACTGATTGGAACTAAGCTTCTAAATAGTTAATCCACGTCCGTAATCCTAGTGCGCGCTCAGGCTAAGTGGATGATGATTCACGTCGTTCACGGATCGTGATTTTCACTTTGAGCTACCGTGGTAGCGAGTTATTCTATTGGGCGTGTAAATTCGTGGCCTCACTTCATAGATTGCTATCAAATATTCACTCCCGGTTTGTTGAAAGCTAACCATGCTTTGAGTCATAGATCACAATATACCGTGGGTACACATTTTGTTTATTTGTTAACCTGTAACAATAGCCAGGCGTAGATAGTCTAGTGATTAGAGGACAGCGTTTCTGTCCCAAAGTTTAGGGTTAATATCACGACAATCGCCACTGGCTTTCAGCCTTGTGATAATGCTATGACTACGTGTTTTGCGGCACAGCAAAAGCTCCTAAGCTCACTCATTTGGGAAAAGGGATAGGTTTCATAAACGATTACTTCTTCTGTATTTGAGATCTTCCCCTACTAAAAAACTGACGTACGTCACGTGACTAATAAATATCACATCAGTGCGTTTTAACTTATCATCACAATCAACTGGGGTTGTCCCAGTTCGGAGTTATTTCTAACTCAAATGATTGGATAAGCAGGAATAATCAATTTCTCCAGAATTATACCTCTTTTCCTCCCGCACAGGCAGGAGTGACTCTCGGAGTAATGGAGTGAGTAGTGAGAGTGACAATAAGATCGAGTGAGATGGAGTGATGGGAAACATGTGGCTGGTGAGCAATGACGGACTATATTGACCCCCATTTCATCAGGGCACTGTGCAAGAACCCGGACCGTCGAAACCTGCAGGTAAATATTGCAGTTAGGATACATAATTGTTTTCAACAATTTGTACTGTAGCAAGATTAGTCATGCACAAATTCCTTACCTATAAGCACCAAGTAAATCAATCAAGAACTATAACTGAATTGTTTTACCTGAATTGTTAAGGGAAGTTTGGGTGATGACTGGGTTTCATGTTTCATTCTAGAAAAGAGACGCCTCCCTGTCCAAAATCCAGTAATTTATCACTATGCTAACGATTACTGACTGATGCTTACTAACTTAATCAAAAGACCGCCAGTTCGATCCTGAGAATAGTCAGCAGCTTTTTGTGGTTCGAAACTGGACCCAGTAATAATGGAGGGATTAGGTTATCACGCCTAATTTGGCAGCCTAATTGAAGGTGACATCAACACAACACAGTTATACACTTCGTACTTACTCCTTTCTTCTGAAAATTGGGGGTGGTTTATCTATAACTATTATAAAGAAGAGGTGGTGTCTGTGTGTGTGTGTGTGTGTTTGTATGAGCTAATCTAAAAAACTACTGAACCTACTGGGCTCAAATTGCACGCAAATGAAGCTACAGTTCCGAGGATACATATAGAACTAACTATTCCTGCTTCGATATTGTCCTACGGCTCTGCCCAGTGGGCATTCAAAAATTTGAGGTGAGAGATTTAAAAGTAAATATTGATTGATGGTATCCATGGTAACAAAGAACAAACCTACAAAGTTTAAAAGTAAACAAGCAGAACTAACTGTCAAATGAATTTTGATTTTACAATTCCACACAGCTGGTTCAAACATATTAAATACTGCACGAATATTAGAACAGAGAGGGTAAGGATTATAAATTAAAATAATGATGTCACTAGCCTAAATGTAAACATTATTTAACATCACTTAAATGGAGCTGTCAAACCATATGTATAAGCATTTTATACTTCTATGCCAACCCCGTACGAAGGACGGGTACTCTGCTAGTAGACTATAAAATACATGTAACCTTTTTTCACTTAAATCGTTTTATTTTTAAAATAGGGTGCTCAAAAAAGGTGGGGACATAACTTTTTCCAAAATTGCTTGGTTAACAAAATATACACCATTTTGAATTTTGTATATGAAGTTTTTTAATTGGATCCATCTTTTTTATAAAGCTTGGTACGTATGTTAAAGTAGAAGAGACCTATATGGGCCATATGAGAAAAAAAGTTATCTTGATTCAATTCAAACTGGCAGTCGTTTTAATTTTTACAATTTAAATTACTAAAAAGTGGCTGATTTTATGAAAAATACCAAGAACACTCTTATTTAGCATTTAAAATTACCTATCAAAACAACATCAAGTTCAAAAAGATGGAATGAAAAATAACTAAATTATCACGATTTTTAGTAATAGCAAAATTGGGTAGAATAGGCCTAGGCTAAGCTAGTCAGGTTTGTCTCATTTTACAAAAATTCGTTGTGTTCAAGTTATTTTTATTTGATATTTTTTAGCTGGTGTCGTTTGATAGGACATATTAAATGCTAAATAAAAAAAATTCTTAACATTTTTCCATTAAATCAGCCATTTTTAAATTTAAAAATTAGAATGGCCACTATTTGAAATTTTGAATTTGATTCCAACATGGGTCTCTTATACAGTTTCTTAATACACATATTAAGTTTCATAAAGTTTGGTCCAAATAAAAATATTTATATAAAAAATACAAAATGGTGGATATTCGGTTAACAAAGTGATTTTGGAAAAAAATGTAATTCTTGATCTCACCTTATTTGGTCCCAAGAAATTACTAGTAAATTATGTCCCTACCCTTTTTTTTTTTTTTTGAATACCCTGAGTATTCAATTTGATATCTATATTACTAAACAAGAAAACAAAAGAATTTTGAATTATTTTGTTGAGTACTGATGCAGATTTGCATTATAACCTTTAACAGATGAATAAAGAGTTAACAGCATAGTTTTGCAGTACTTAACATTAACCTTATGTATAACAATAATTATTATTACATATATATAACATGTCAATTTTTTGGGTACAAATAAAAAATAACAAAAATCAAATAAACATTATTCTTTTTATTAAAAATCTATTAATCCAGCTTAAAAAAAATTAATATATAGTGTAAGTTTTAACTTATTCAAACAAAAATTAAATTAGTTTTTTAAGAGTACAAACTAATTATAATCCAAAACCAGGAAATGTTATACACGAGAAGATGAAACCAGGAGATCATTGTTATTACAATACATAAGTATTAAACTACTTATCTCTAAGGATACATTTGAGGATAATCATGGAAAATTTTTCTTACACTCCTCAAATGCCCAAGATTTAAATTAGTAATAAGCTTACATTACTAGTATTTTAATCTGGAGTTGTCTTAAAGATGATAAATCAGTTATCTTTTTCTATTATACAGTGTTTTTCTTACTACCCTAACCTACAAAATCAGAACAAAAGGGAGTTTTTTTATTAAAAAATTGATATTTTAATTTTGTATTGTCAACTTTAAAACAAAAACATTAAGCATGCTAGAAATAGGATTTTCTTTTTCATGCAATTGCATAAACAACATGTTATCCATTACTTGATAAAATGTACTAAGGTAAACATGAATGAAGGTACATCTTCAACCCTTAAGAGTAGAGAAAGGGGGATTTCAGCTTTCTTCCATCACATTAGTCATCCTCTAGATTCTTCTTTTCAAAAGAGATTTCAACGTCAGAGTAATCATTGGTGTTCTTCAACTGAAGATTGTTTTCATTGGCTAAAAAAAGAAGAGACAATAGTGCCATTCCTGGTGATAAGTCTTCAGCAGTTTTTTCTTCTAATCTCGGCGGAAGATCCCGTAAAACATCGCTGAACTTTACTTTTGGCTGTGTTTCAAGGTTTTCCAAGGCATCATCCTGAATATTATGTTGTTCCTTTTCTTTAATCACTGTCAACATATTCTGCTTCAGATTTTGCATATTAACCCTGATGGGTTTTGTTTTGTACCTGATTGGTTCAAATTTAACCATATTAGGAACTGGTACAAGTGATTCATCAGTGGTTTGGCTACAGGCAAATTTTACTTTGACTATCTTTCCGTCATCTCCTGACAAGTTTTGTGATAGCATGTTTTGAGTCAGTTTGGCATCATAAAATGCTGAGTTTAGTGGATCCCCATGTTCTTCTAAACTTGCACAATTTTCTGGAGCGTTTTCGTAAAATGAACTGTTCAGTCTATCTTGGCTTTGAGGAGAGTCAGTCATAGGGTCATCATCAATTGTGTCATTGTTATTGTCAGAATTCGTCCCGTCAACTTCTCTTTCGTTTGATCTGCTTGAATTTTGGTCTTCTTCAAGTTCTAAGAATTCTGGCATGCTAAACAAGTCTAAAAAGGTTCTTACGTTTACTTTTAAATCATTGGCATGAGTGACATTTTTAGTTTTCCACCCCATTAATGTTTTTTTGTTCAATGTTGTCCCTTTTCTCAAAACTGTACTTATTGATTTCTCAGCAGCAGGGCCAGTATAAACAATTGGTTCTGGCTCTTTCTTTTTCTTTGTAGCCTTTCTTTTCTCGTTGCCATCAATAAGTGTGGATTGAGACCTTTTCCAAAACTTATGGCCAGACCAGTAGTTTGCTTTTTCCATGTTAAGGTAGTGGTAATCACTAATATTATCAAACAACATTTTCATAGTCTCCTGACGCGTTGGAATATTACAAATATCTTTGTTTTCTTTTGCTTCTTCATTCAAACGTCTTAAAGCTAAAGAAATAATGTCCACTTCATCTTCAATTTCTTTTGTGTCTTCTTTCTCTTCAGTATCGCTTGATGATAGGTCACATGGCATATCTACGTCACATATATCTTCAGACTCCTCCCCAGAGACTACCAGTGATCCACCTGCAAGTTCACTTTTGTCTAATTCTGAGGACAATATTTGTAGGTTGCTCTTAACTTTTGATTCACTTTTATTCCGATATATTTCACAATGAGGTATTGACACGGTTTCATTTACTGTGATGGGCTTATAGTTTTCCAACTTGGGCCAAAATGGAGTGTTTTTTAGCATTGTAAATGACAAATCTTGTGGGTCTATTTTAACTGACTTCATCATAGCTCCAGGTAAACCATCAAATTTTATAAATTTGTCTTTGGGATCATTACTTTTTAAGGTTCGTCTTAAACTTTCGGCAGAAGCTAAAACATTTTTTTTGCCTGCTTTTCTTGTTCCTTTTTTTAATGCCTCCTCATCTTCTTCCATTTTGCCCTCAGACATTTTATTTTTCTTCTCGTTATTAATTACTTCTTCGGCAAGCTTTATGACTTGCTGATGAAGGCCATCAACTCTAGAAGCGTATATTTTCTGCCCAGCGTCTAGTGTGCAAGCCATGACTGAGAAATCTTCTTTCGGCAGTAATAATTTCATACAATCTATAAGTTGAAGAGCAAAGGCGTTCTTCGTATTTATTTTATTTTCAGAGCTCATTTCTAGACATTTATGGATATGATCAGTTACCTCTTCTGTAGTCATTGTTTTTATAAAAGTTTGATCGTTGCCAAAAGTTCCTTCTTTTTCTGGGTCTTTACCAGAAATGAGTTCAGTTCCGGCAATGCTTTCACGTGGTTGTGATAGAGTATGCATATCATCATCACTTGTTCTTCGAAATTTTAATTTTTTCTTTCTTTTATCTAGAGAAGCATTAGCATCCGGTGTCTTTGTACTTTGATAAATATAACTTGGTATAGATTTTCTTTGATCTGCCATCTTTAGTTAACTTAAAATTAAAATTTTAACTTCAGATTATGGGGTTGAGTTTTCTTTTTACACCACAGTTACAACCTGAAATAAAAATCATTTAATTAAACTATTTTAATAGTGCGAGATAGTTTTATGTTAAATGACTTTTGTTCTACCAAATAATAGCTCAGCAAGTTTACTGTAAAAATGCCAATTGTATCAATGAAATAATGAAGAACTGTAAAAAAACATAACTGTTAACCCAACATTTTCAATTAAAGTACGGTAATAAATTGTGGTATTTATTGTTTGTTTGGCTGAAACTTTTAACACCCAAAACATTCACTAGATAAATTTCATGATTCATATCCTAAAGAGAGTAGGCCTGATGAATAATTTTGTTTTTATTGTATGAAAGGAATGAAGTCGGTATACAAATTCCATTTACAATAAGAAATTACAATAATTAATACAATATAATTGGAATCAAATTATTTTGCTAATAATTTTTGTTTTTGTGATGTAATGTGCATTATGTGATGAAAGCGATGACCCCTTGCCACTTACTGGCATTATTTGTGAACAGAATGACACAATTTGCAACTTGTATCTGACATATATGCTGTGTTTTTTTAATTTTTTAAATTATCAAATATCAAAATCAGATGTGTATCTTGTAATAAAAAAAAACTTATCACCGACATTATCTCGCACGCAGTAAGAGATTCTATAATTTTAAAATTTTTTTAACACACAGGGAAGCATATATGTCAGCTAAAAGTAGCAAATTGCATCATTCTGTTCACAAATAATGCCAGTAAGAAGTGGCGAGGGGCTTCGTTGAAGTGTAAAGGCAAACTCCAGATGCATTTGACATAACCGCCCTTACCGGTACTTAAAAAACCGCCCTTGTATTGTTTCCAATTTTATTTTGTTTTAATATGGTTTGCATCCCACTATAACTTTGATAATATATGGTGACCCCAATAGAACGGCTATTGCTACGGCCCTTTATATTTATAAAAAATATATATTTCTATTCAAATATTCATTTCCACACCATTTTTGATTGATATTTGATACAAATGCTTTCATTTTTACAAAAACCAGATCGACTGAATTCAAGCGAAGTGCAAGATTCTTCTGGGGGAAATTATTCTTAGTGTAACTGCATTATGGGTAAAATAACCCATTAGAGGTAATGTTTAATGCAGACTCCCTACAGATCATTTACCAACTTCTATCTAGTTTTAAAGAATTTTCCTATAGGGAAGTAGCTATCACTGTAGGACTCGGTAAGACCTAGGTCCGGGACCGATTTACTTTTTCATTTTGATTTCCCCAGAGGCCAAAAACATCATTCGTTCAAGTTTTTATATATGTATAATTGTATATATGTGTGTCCGTGAACACAATAACTAGAGTAATTTTTGTCCGATTTTGATGAAATTTGGTTTGTAGGTGTAAGAGGGATAAACTTGAATGAGTTCGCAAACTAGCATGATCGGACCATGGGAACAGGGTTTTACGGGGGTTTTATGGGGTAAAAATTGATTTGTCTCATTTTTGACCCTTATAACACAAATTTTCCCAATTTCTCTCTAAACCACTAAAGTATTTTAAAAAATATAAAAATCTATATATTAATTTGAAACTGTTTTTCTTTGTGACAGCTAATTTGAGAGAACGGCTGGGTGTAGAAACTCGGCAGAGGTCTCTAAAGAAAGATTTCTTGAGAGGTTTCTTGGTCTGTAGATAAGCCATCAAAAGAGAAACGTGGTAAATTCCCTTGGGGCTCTGCCCCAGTGGCCTTTAAATTCCCATCCCATGTTATTCTTATGGAGGAAAAACGGGTTTTTGTCACAGCTAATTTCAGAGAACGGCTGGGCGTAGAAACTTGGTAGGGGTCTCTAAAGAAATGTATTAGTCTGTAGATGAGCCATCAAAAGAGAAACAAGGTAAATTCCCTTGGGGCTCTGCCCCAGAGACCTTTGTCCCCTCTTCATATTTGTTTACATAACGACCATATGCATACATTTACACTACTTTTTAATGAAACAGCTGTTAATATTTAAATTGTGATTTACAAAATTTGTCAAAATGAAGTATTTGCAATGATTTTTGCTGATTTTATAATCGATTTTCTTCTGAATCGTGCTATGTTTTGCAATATAATGTTCTTTTACCAAATCAGTGGACAATCCTAATATCACAGTAACTCTTAAAATTATTTCTTCTGGAGTTAACTTATATCTATTGTATGGGTTGGTTTCTACCTTTTTTACCACCTTTTTTGACCCTAAAAACACACAATTTTACAATTTCTTTTCAAACCATTTTGTAGAGCGTAAAAAAACAAATAATTTTGTATATTGAAGCGTTATTGTGCGCCTAATGGTTACGGAGAAAATTCCAAAAAAACTGTGAATTTAAATTCCCCATGTTATTCTTATGGAGAATAAGTCCACTGTTGTAGTTTGCTTGTTTATGAACATATTTTGATCGAATTTGGAAAATACATTCATTTCTTACTAAGCTATTAACATTAAAAAACACCTTTTTACCCTCCCTGTTGCAGCAAACCTAAGTACTCGTTAAACTAATTCTATTTAAATAGGGAATAAATATGATATTTTTAAGGGGGCATTTTAGTGTAAATCAAATCAGGCTAATGGAAATTCGCTTAGTCTGCAGGTTTGCTGCGGCAGGGGGTATTTTAAATTACAATGGAAAAAAGCGAGAAATTATGGACGATTTGATATACTAAAAATAAAACTGAATTAACACTGTGCTACATTTCTTGAGCAATAATTGAAAGAGCTGATTTGCAAATAATGGAAACAGGGAAGTCATAGAACACAACCAAGTACAGTAGAAGAAATATAAATAATGTTTTTTTTTTTCATTTATAATCGTTAATAGACAACCTTATTTCGGCTATGAGTGGGAAGCATTTGTAGAAGACACTAAAAAACAAGGTCAGCTTTTGAAAAAAGATAGATATTTACAAAAAATTTTAATTATATCTAACTTTTGTGTACATCTTGAGTATTTCCATAATCTTTGAGTTGACTCTTATAAAGTCATCGGAAATTATTTTAAATTAACGCCTGTAATGCTTTGCAATTGCTCGAACTCGAGCAACAGGTACACTAATTAATAATAATTTAGGATATCAAAGTGTTTTTGTACAATTATTGGCTATGGAGAAAATTATAAAATTGTAAATTTGAAATTCCCATGTTATTCTTATGGAGATATTGTAAAAAGTTGTAGTTTTGTTTATGGATGTAATTTTATCAAACTTGGCCACAATTTATTTATTTCTACTAAGCTATTTTACAACAAAACTAACTTCATTCGTTTCTCTGTAGCAGCAAACCTAGGTACTCGTTAATCGTTAAACCTAATGTTATTTTAATAGATTTTATTTCAAATAAATTCAGGCAAATTGAAATTCGCTTAGTCGGCAGGTTTACTGTGACGGAGGTATTTAACTTACCTATAGGCCTATTTCAATACTCAAAAATTTAAGATTGATCTCATCATTATTGAAATATTATAACATACTGTGCGTTGTGCATTGGTTCCTAACATTGGTTAGTATTCAGTTTTATGATGTGTGTTTCAAGTAAGTAAAGGGTGTCCCAGTAAGAACGCCGGATTTGAGGAGCGTCTTATCCTTATCTGTATTTCAATAGGAATTCCCAAATTATCAGCGATGTTACCCGTATTAGGTCCCATTTGTAGTCATGAATCGCTACACGACGTAACAACGCGTGGTCATAGTTAAAGTGCACTACAAGTACGGAAGCTGCGCACTATTTACGGCCGGGACAATGCACCAAATGATCCATCTGTCCGAAGATTGGTTTATAAGTTCGAATAAATTGGCTCAGTTCTATACTGGGGATATTGAAAGTCGCTTGTTTTCGCCAATAACCCTCAAACAATCCAAGACTTGAAGGAGGAAATGATTCGTGCCATTAATGGAATTCAACAGGAAGTGTGTGAAAAAGTGATGGAAAACTTTGTCAAGAGATGTCGAGCTTGTCAGTATTCAGCAGGTTGGCACTTACAAGACATAATACTCGATTACTAATCGGAGATATTATGCTTTAAGATTCGTGTTTCATATTGTAAATTTAGCGAGAAAATATATGGTTTGTTAACATTTCAAATCCGGCGTTCTTATTGGGACACCCTTTAGTTAAGAATTCCCCTAAACTATTGTTATAAAATTAGACTTCCCATGAAAGTGTAGTAGCCAATTTTTATAGAAAAACCAGTAGTTGAATTGACTCATTGACAGAAAGCACTGATGTCAATTATTTTTGTCAATGAGCAAAATGTTTAACCAAACCAAATTAGGAAAGGACAACTAATTGTGAACCGTAGCTTATTAAGTTTCATAACAATTTCTTAGGGAAAAAAATTAAAATTAAAATTACATTTTTTGTAACAGCACAGTCTGTGAGTGAATCATACATATGTTCTGTTTGCAAAAGAAAAATTGGCTAAATCTAGTCATTGAAATTAGATGCCTTCTCAAGAATCAAAAATGGTATTAGTAATAATGGATTAATTGTTTGAAAATACTACTTCAGATTGAATTTTAAAATCAAATGGGATATGACATTACAATGCTCAGCATTGATACTGCTTGTTAGGATACCTATTCATGAACACTAGCAGGCATGGATTAACAGACTGCTTGAAGTGCTGGTCTTCAAGAAAAAAGGTTGCCGAAAACAAGACTATAGTGTTGACTGTTGGTCTAATTTTAGCTTAATCCTCCTAATAGGCCGGGCATACACATTACAGTACACAGGTGAGGTATAACTTGCCAGGTATACCTCTCCGGTATAGGCCTACCTATAAAGTGCAGGCAGTGGCGGTTCTAGGACCTCGTCAAGGGGGGGGGGGCTGCCAGGGGTCTTGGAGGGTGTGTAGCACCCCCCAAAAAAGGAGGGGGGTCCGGGGAAAATTTGGAATTTTCAAAGCCGTTTGGTGACTTTCTAAAGCCATTTTTAACACCTAAAACCGTGCCCAATTGTCCATAAACACCCATTTCACCAGTTGTTTATCATGAGCAAATATAC